GCCATTCAAGAAATCAATTCAAAAAGTAGTCTCTATACTAATAAACAAGAGATTGGGAGAAACGAGTGTCTTTCACCTTATCCCAATACTATGATAGTAGATTTCGAAGAAGCTTGACTTTAGAATAATAAATTGCTATGTAGCTCTCGATTTATCCCAAGGATACGGAGACCACTACTGGAATAAAATTGAACAACTTATGAAATCCAAAGCATCAATCATTGCGGGCAACTTTAACTTTCACCCCAATAATCTTCCCTTAACATTCTAAATAAATAGAATTGAGGAAGAATCACAAAGAGCAATAGATATCATTCATTCTGACATTCTGGAAAACATGTGTCAAAGAACATTGTTATCAATTTCTGATCACTTTGTCCTTTACAAAAAGTACCTATACAATACCCAGAAGCTCGGTTTACCTACTATAACCATATCACAAGCGGAATAATTTCTTAACAAGGAAAAAGAATAGTTCGTTTAAAAAGAAATTGTGACAGATACTATCCAGGAATTATTACACTAAAGACAAATGAATGACCTTATCAGATAGATTGAATGAGCCATGTAGAATAATGACTAAAAGCTAGTCCACTAAACTATCAACTAGATCATCCAAAAGGAAAAAGAAAAAATAGCTATTAGGCCTTGATATGTTAGATACTATCCAAAAATCAAAAAATTTTATGAGGTTTAATTTGCTGGCATTTACTACCCTCCATTACAGAAGAGGGAACTAGATACCCATAAAACTTATGCAAAGATGGGCATGGTTTACTAAGAGCAATCTGAATGATCCAAATATCAACCCAATATTCTCCCAAACATCTTTTCGGACAAAATTTTGGGCTCAGACAATATCTCAGACAGATGTTTAAAGAAATATTATTATGCAATTCCCTTCATTACATGGACAGAGGGAATGGGTTAATGGAAATGTAAACCCACTCCTATGGATAACAATTCGAATCTTATGATACTTTCCAAAGTTGGCTCAGTTAATCCTAAAATGGAATAAAACAAGACCTATAACTATGACTTTAGCACTAAAGAAAATGATGGAAGCAGAATTTATACTATTATACTGCAACCTACTATGATCTCTCATTCATAAAGCTCAAATTGACATTAGACTAGGAGCAATCCTGGGATAGAACACAGCTAAATTCTTTCAAGATGCTAAAATTGGTTAGTATAATAGCTACTGGTTTATTGAATTAACAGGAGCCTATGATGCTATCCCCAAACCTAACTTAGATGATGAGGTGCACGGAACACAGATCCTAAGAGCAGTCAAAGAAATTTAAGCACCCTCGGGTGTTAACATGAGAAACTGAGAAGAAGGCTAAAGTTCTACAATAATTCATAATTATTAATATTATTATTCAAAATTATCAATTTTAATTTCAGTCATAGAATTAATAAATTTAGAATTTAAATCTGTAGTTAATTTGCTCAGAACCAAGCGTTCCAACTTGATATCATCTGGCTTAGTCTTCTGTCGTCCATTGCAATCTCCATAAGTTCAAACACCTTTTTGTTAAATTCCTCAAAGGTGTGTGGTTTTTCAATTTCAAATTTCAAATAAGCTTTGGGAACTTTTTATCCCGCAATCAAAATCACATCATCCCATTCATCTGACTGCCCGAGATCCATGCTAGCCGGCATTTACTGTTGCTAGGGTGGAACTTGGCCTTCCTGGTTAGGTTGATTCTCTCCTACTGAATCTTTATTGAACATGGGATTAGAAGTTGTATCTTGAATGATATTTTTATTTTAAGAGAGACTAGTGACCTTGAATTTGAGATAGTCACAGCAACTGTTTATAAACTAAGTCATCTAGTCTTTTGGCCCTCCAATCTCATCTTGATATATCATGTGAATTAGAGGGAGGAATTTTTCATTGTGCTTGGACAAAGCCAGAGAGCATGAAGTCATAACTCCAGCGAACAAACCATTCAATCCAGTTCTGCCCATGAATTCCACAATATTGTTAGTCAGTCTGAATGGCAAATAACTACTCACAGGGGTAAGAGGATTTTACTGATTATAAACTTCATCTCTCTCGATCGCATCATAATCTATCTATTTATTGGTCTACACTTTAAGCTTTAGCAACTTATTCTTAAGCAGTTCAGTCAGCTTGGCTTCATTGTAATTCAATCTGCCGGAGGTCTTGCAGAAAGAGATGTTGTTTAAGCTTGAGAATTCTACTTGGGTGAAGATATAGGAGAAGAAAGAGTTCACCGCATGATAGGTCGTAAACTACTTCTTAAAGATAAACAGATCATCCACTGAGTAGAATATTCTGTGGAAGAATGAACTTAGCAGGTAAGGCTAGCAATATATGTTTTTCATCTCATCGTATGTTTCTTCAAAGACCTACTTCTTTTTCTCTGGTGTTAAAGATGATATGGTCTTCTGCTGACCCTCATCATACTCATTAAATATTTCCTTAAGCTTTTGGAGTTGAATATTGAATGCTAAATCTGAATCTAAGCCTCTTTCTTAGAATAAGTAATCGTGAATTTCCTAAAGATTGCCGAATGAAAGATCCTCTTGCGAGAGTTTGCATCTGTGCATTACTGATTTGTTCGGAATATAGAATTTAATACCTCTCCTCATAGTCTCCTTATTCTTTTGGAAGATTTGATTCATCATCATCTTCACTTGAATCACTCTTTCCTCAGAGAAATGCTTGATAGTTTCCTCCCTGTTACTTAGCAAACTCACTGTAAAGCCATAAACCTTTTGATTGCTGCCCTTAATTACAATCTTCTTTGTGGTTATACCACTTCTATAGATAACTGGCTCAAACTTCTATATGAATATCGTATTCTAAGGAATGGGCTCTTAATCAGTGATCATATATTGACCTGGCAATTCAACTCCCTTTTCATTGAAATTGGCTAGATAAGGACTTAAAAGTTCAAGATTGGTCTTTTGCTCAGAAAGACTTAGCTTTCTGTGAAGGAAATCCTTAAGATTCTTGAGCCTTCTGATGACTTCTGTGATGTCTCTTTCCATTGTTGCCTCATTCAAAAAATCATTTTGGAATTTGGCTCTAAGATGACTCAAAACTGGGTTGAACTAGATCGTTTCTTCTCTAAAGAACTTGTCAAATATACTGCGAAGGAAGTTCTAGAAGTCATTTTCAAAATTTTCAATCTTAAAGAAGTGAGAAATGCACAGTATCTTATTGAGGAGCAGATAGAGTTCTTCTTCAGTTGGCATTTTCATGCTTTTGTTGAACTCAGATGCAATTTTATCACTCAAATGAAGGGCCTAGAAATTGGCTTGCTGCATATTCTTGAGGAATGATCTGATCTAATTCAAAACTTAAGGGTTCTACTCTTCATGAGTTTACTTCAACTTAAGAGGGTAATAGAATGATTGAGGGTATAGTTTGCTTATTTTTTCTAGCACTTTGACGCTTAAACATAATTCCAGATTGTTTATGGCTTTGTAGAGTATATGCTACAGCTAAGGAATCCAAAATAGCCAGATCCATGTTGGCATCTACTCAAGATTTTTCAACATAAACTCTCTTACAGTAGGATACTAGATGTCTTTTCTTCGAAGCAATTTCAAGATTTGAGGTATAATAAGTCTGGACTTGGGTAGGTTTAGAAGAATATATGAGAAGTAGCCCTTAAGAGTGTTTTGCAAAGCTGCTTCATTTCTCTTGTTCTCGAATACTGTTTGGTTGAGTTTCGCGTATGAGAGCCATGTTTTAGCTTCTCTCTTATTTTTCTACAAAGATTGCATCAAGTACTTCTAGCATTGATTTAAGTTTCCGATCTTAAAGTAGTAATCTCCAATTAATCTTTGAATCTCTGCAGCTTGCCAGGGTTCAAAGTAAGGAATTGGCTGAACATTTATTAGATTGAGTGATGCATCAACTTCCTCTGGTGGCAAGTATTTCCTTGAGAGTTCCTTGACATATTAGTTGACTACATACTCGAGAGACTTTGGATTGTAATTGTATGATAAGTTGATCTTCAAGTCTTCATAGTCGCATTTGAACCTCTCATACTTAATGTTCTCGCTTTCCTAGCTGAATGACACTTATCTTCTTAGTTATTACAGATAGAAGTATGCCAGAGTGGGTAGCCCTTACTTTCTGCTGATCTGAGCTAGTTTGTAGTAGTTCCATGAAACATCTAGGAATTCGTTAACTAGCTGCTGTCTTGAGAACTCAGCTTGTTATCTTTACTGCTACTCCATCTGGGACTAGTTACCTATGTTGCTTGGAGCCTAGTTGGGACTCAGCAGCATGCTTATATGTGAAAAAATGAAGTTCCTGCTGTCGAGGACATCCTTCCAGACTTAGATGCTCTCGCACTTGTGGGGCACTCTCTCTCGCCAAATGTTGATGTTAGACTTGAAGTCGTGCAGTTTCTACTTCATTCTTAGATTTTGTGCCTCCTTAATCATGTTTCTTCCGCCTTCACTGCTTTCGAAGATCAGTTAGAACATTATTAGATTCTAGAATTAGATGTTATCTACATAGTTTGGTAGATGTTGATCCCATTCTTTATAAGCCTGTTAGATTATTTGTTTAAACACTTCATCAAAAAGTTGGTGTTATTGAGATTGAATAAGACAGTAGATGTAATAGAACTGATACTTGAAGTTTTCGCTCTTTTTCAGCACATTTGCAAAAGAGTGTAAATTGGGCCAGTCCTTGTAGTTCCAGTAGAACTCAATTAGCATCTCTTAATTGTTAAGAGCATGAGCGATATCCCTGTATTGATCCCATTTATTCAAAACCTTTAGACTCTCAATGAAAAGATTGTCCCAAATACGCAAATCTATTTCTGCAAACTTGCTTGTATCTAATCTCTTTTGCAATCTGCTCTACTATTGAGATGTCATCACAATTTCATCAATCTGTCTGTCTAAGTTCTAATCCTCTTAGTCTACATACTACTAGATTTAACTGGAGTCTAATCCTTGAGATCTCTCCAGTATGTTTTTCTTTGTAGCCTCTCTGTGATCCTTTTTCAGTTTGTCATAGAAACCTATCTGAAGCTGCCTAGAGTACTTTCCTGGAAGATTGTAATCATTGTCCATCTAGGTGTACAATCCTTCTTACTCAGCATAAAGAATGATGAATTGATTGAATTATTGGTTGAGTTCTTCCCACATATGGTGCTAACCGTAGCTTATTGCAGCTCTAGTTTCCTAAGCATCTGTAACGATTCTTCTAAGACCTGCTATGTAATCCTCCTCTGCCAATTTGCTGTAGAGTTCATTTAAGGAGAAAATGTATCTCTCATTGCTTTAATAGAGAGCAAAATGGTTCTCTAATATTGGAATAGACACATGCCACATCTTAAGATTCTTGCCTAGGAATTACAATACTTCTGGTTCCAATCTGATTTGAGGAGATATGGTTGCAATAGACTCTAGGAATGTCTTAGGAAATGCGTTTTTCCTAACGTCTGGGTTGTTAATCAGTGGGATAGTGCTCATCAGGAATTGATTTATGTTTTCAGATAAAACTTGCTATTCCTCTCTAGTTTGTATATTCCAGTATTGCCAAAATAGCTTGATGAACAGTTTGTCTGATATGTTCTTGTCAGTGCCATGACTTGGGTTGATACTAATTATTTCAGATATTGAATCCATCATGTCCTTTATCTTTAGTTTCTTGAATTTGTTAATCTTTCTACCGAAGCCTTGCAACTATATGGTAAGTCTTTCATACTCTGAATTCTGAAGCATCAAAGGGTTTTCATCAAGTGACACATCTTTTTAGAACTTTATGTTTATGTTATAGAGAGGGAATAGTCTAGAGGAATACTTAGTCTTGCTGAGAGGCAAATCAGTTCTGAAATTGTAAAGAGTGAAGTCTAGCAGTTGACTTTGACTTTGCATGAAAGCGATCTTGTCATGATCTTCAAGTTGATGCTTGCTGAAGAAGTATTAGAGTTTCTTGAACAAACCTGAGCCGCAGAGTTTTTCATACATCTTAAATACCCTCTGCTTGAGAGGTACAGATTTGCCCTTCAAGTTCAAGAACACCTTTTCAAACAATCTGGTTGTGACTTCATTGTGTAAGGAAGTCTGCTTCTCTAGGAATCTTATACCCTACTCAAATATTGCTTCAACTAGCTGGATAGTTGTAGGTAGGTCTTTCTTTTCTGGAGTCTGTATTTCAGCAATCTTGTTTAGCATCTTGTTTACATAGGAAGACTTTTAATCCATATTAAGTACTGAAATATCATCCTCCTCATCCTCAATTAGCGCATCAGTTATTTTTCTTAGCCATTCCAGAATGTACTCATTAGTGTTGTACTTGAAGAAAGTCTGAATTATGTACTATATTACTTCCAAGATTAGGATGCATTAATCCTGAGGCATTTTCTTTATTCTTTTGATAATGCACAATACTCCCATCATGATGGTTTCCTTGTTAAACATGTCGTAGTTAGGTTCCTCGATTTTAAGCACAACTATGTCGTCTTACATCTCAATTAAATCCTTTTCTGGAGTAAATTAGGTATTAGCGTTGCAAGCCTAGTAAACTACATTGTGCCTTACTCTGACCTTAAGAGGGTTAACTTCACCCTAATCAAATATGATTTGTTTTCTAAAGAACCCAACTACTCTAAAGATGGTAGTGGCAAGGTCTTTGAGAAATTGGAATTCATTCTCACAGTATTAGACATTCCTTTGATAAATACTTGAATTTGGATCATTAATTGACTGATCTAGAGCTTTAAGGAATCTGATGGCAAAATGAGGAATTGTGCTAGATATTAATATCGCATGTTCTTAGAATGACAATACGCTTGGCTTTTGATCTACTTAGTATTTTTCATCAATAGCTCTCATCTTTGCTTGAATCTCATTTATATTCTCATCCTAGCACTTCTACAGATCGTTTTTGAGGCAGTTCTGAATTTGCAGATATATAGGTTGATTCTAATCAGGGTTCTAGTTGATTAGCTGAATCAGTATTTTGCAACTGAATAAGATGCCCTTCTGATACTTGGTATTTGTACCAACGATGTAGTCTAGGAAGAAGTTCTTAAACTCCTGGCTGTTTCTTTAATACTTTATTAAAATGTAGGAAACATTCAAAATGACCATGCGGACTATTTGCAGATGCTCGCGATCACCTCCATCTTATTAGAGCAGTCTATTGAAGAAGGGGAATTAAATCCTGACATTGGAAAAGGCTCTGACAAGGAGTTTGATTTGCTTGAGACAGCAGTTGGACAAGTCAAGAACATCTTTGATTGACTCATTGGAAGAGAATTAAACCATAACAGAATTTCTGATAAGGTTATAGAGAATGTTGCTGAAGAGGAAATGGTACATCTATTCCTACTAATCAGAGATTGGAGGCTGCAATCTTTACATGCTATTATAGATTCTTCTAGATATCCATTAAATCACCACGGCTGATAATTCTACAAGTAGTTATCTTTAAGCTAAATTTGGTTGATAGGCAATGCTAAATCTTTGAATAGTTCTTTGGATTCTTGAGAAGAATTGCTCTTAGAATTGATAGAAAGACTCATGATGGCCGATGATAAAGCTTGAGAGATATATTTAATTAGCAGAATTCCTGCCTTCAAATGTTAGAGCTCTCTTGATGCAAATGGATACATAATCTGCATTGCTTTAACCCATTTAGCTTCCGGTGATAGTCTCTCTGATTTGCTGATCTTGGAATATATTGATTATGTTTCTGAATGATTTGTGAATCAATGCCTTCACTTAGAGATTAGTGGCATGCTAAAGAATCATCATCAGAACTTAGTCAGTCATTTAGGCTATCATAGTTACCATTTCATTGTCCAGTGGTTAACTTACAGTACTGTATCTGGCTGCAAAGTCTAGTATCTTAATGAATAATGAAGTCAGTGTGTAGTATGCCCATTCCTTAAGAGTAGCATTATTAGCTTTCTTTGAGCATTGATACAAAAACTACGAGATCTTTTTGATCTCCTGCTACTAGCATGTTTACTGAATGGTGGGGTAATCAAAATATCTGAACATAAGGTTAATCACCTTGATGATCTCTATCTAAAACTATTCAAACGATACTTACTAGGATATCTCTAACTTCTATCTAAATAGTTCAAGGTATTAAATTCTGCCATAGGGGCCTTGAGGTTAAGTTTGTTGCAGCGAAATTCCAAAAAATATATCTATAAACTCTTGCATAAGTCTTTGGTCGACAAGCTACTAGAAGAACTGCTCATTGCCAGCTACTGAGTGATAGATTATACTTGGGATAAATGCCAACTCAAAAATCATAAACTTTTCCTCCTCAGTCCAGCTGCTATCTGTGTACCTCAACTTTTATAGAGTGTATATCAAAAGATCTCGTTTCTTGTTTAGTGGGTAGTTGTGAGGAATTTCATATTAGAAAAATACCTTTACTGGCAGCATATCAATGATAGTCTGATATCTAAATCCTTTGATGAGCTAGATCATGAACTCAGTCTTAGCGTTGGGTGATTTGCAATATTATAGCAAGCATTTCATGATTTTCTGATATAGGTGTCTGATGTTTGATAATGACTTGAATTAACTTAGCCTCACTTAATCCTAAATGTTGATTGGGGCAAGGTCCAGCCATTTGTCAAAGAGTATTTTGACTATAGAATAACTGCTGTTACTATTGAGGAAGTTTTTATTATACTTGAGGAATATGCACACCATTTTGATACCAGCTTTGAAGGCATCACTTTCAATAGCTTCATTTAGATAATTTCTTAAAATATCTACATCTCTCGAGATTCTTTCTCTAAGAGTATAAGATCCTGGCTCCTTGAGAATGTCAATTACTTCAAATGATATTTTGTTAATAACGAATGATCTGAATAAGTCTAAACTCTCAAATGGTGCTTTGTTAAAATATTTAGTCAAGCCAACTCTGAAATCACTCTTCAGCAATCCAAGTCTGATTGATAAGGGTTTAATATTGGCTTCATGATTAGTAGGGTGGCTGGGGTTTTGATAAAACTCAACCATTCGCTCGAAAGTCAGTTCAAATTTCTCTTCTAGTTCTTAGATAACTTGGAGCTCGAAGTCTGGAAGTTGAATTAGTATTCTGAATATCTCAGCTCTGCTAGTAGGAAGTAGATAAAGTATCTTGATAATATGATTGGCGATTTCCAGTTCTTCTATTTTCAAGTTGTGCAAGAAGATCAGCCTCTCATAATCCTCATTAAACTTGCGTTGTCTCTCTTAAGCTTTCTAGCTTTCAGTCATCTCGGATTCCATTGGTACTGAAGTAGATGCCTGAGGCTAAGCCTGAGTCGTTCCATCAGCATTCTGATTTGAGGTGTTAGGCTGACTGTTAAAGTTCAATTGGTAGTCTTCAAACACTTTCTGCTTATTCTACTCATAACTCTTAATCAAATGCCTTCCTAGCTGGTCATTAAAGCATCCATGCAGTACATTTATGAGTCTCGTTAACTGCTAGTATAAAGCTGGGTAAGATCCTCTTTAGCTGAGAATATTCAAAGAAGGTCTTACACACTCTTTAAGTATCTGATTTGGCAATGCCTCTTGTTAATTAGATTCTTTTCTGAGAATACGCTTCAAGCATTACTTTGCTGTTTTGTAAATGTTTTGCTCTTCTCTTGAGAAGAATTTGAAATAGACTGCAATTGACTTTGATTTAATCTCGACTGCATAGAGATCTAGCTTCCTGGTTAGAGCTTAAGGATTGCCTGGAGGTAGTTAGGGTTGGGCAGGATTAACTTGGTTTTGTGATTGTTGATCAAAATAGTACTATTGCCTTTCTTTAAAGAATTTATTCATATCGTCCTCAATAGTTATGTCACATAAAAGTTTTAGGCATTTGCAAATAAGTTCAGTATGAAGTCTGTGATTGGGGAACAACTCATACATATGGTGGATGTACTCAAATGATATATCGCTTGCCTTGATGCCTGGCTGGAACAATTTTGATATAAAATCTGTTATCCTCTGTTGAGTTCTAGCTTTCTAGGCTTAAAGTTCCTCAGGTCTAAGTGTTTCTGTCGCTGAGGTATTCAAATCTAGTCTCCTATCTTGGAAGATTTCAAACAAAGTATAGCTAAATTTAGCCTCCTCAATATCTTGGGCATGTTTATCCCTCTTAGCTTGCTCCTCCACTTCAAACTATTAACTTTAAAGGAAATGATGAGGGTGCATAGTATGTGAGTAGGGATCATAGGTCTTGTTTTAACTTATATATTGCTTCTCTAACTTCATATACTTTACAGAAGCTCTTGCAGCAGTGCTGTTTAGTTCATCACTTCTAAGTCCTGGTTGAGCGTCATTTTTTTGCTCACATTTCTCAACTTCGTCTTCTAGAATTTTCAAGAGCTAATCGCATATAGCCAGATAAATATGAACTTTATTAATGGGCTCTATGATTTTATGCTTCAGCAGGAATTCCATCAAATCTAGCTATGACACCAAATGTAATACCTAGGTATATCCACCTTTGAATAAGGCAAAGATATTCTTAGCTTTGGCCTCTATTTGATAAACTACAAGGTAATTGGCCCATGATCTATCTTAAACTGTATTTTAGACAATCGGCACTTGTTGCTCAGGCACAGTTGATTGAGGCATCTATTATGGAGGTTGTTGGTTCTGTGTGTTCTACTGTTGTTACTATTGCTGTTATTATTATTACTACTACTATCTCTATTACAGCTATTATTAAGCCATTTGCTATTATTGAAGAATCTACTAATTGTAAAACTCACACTAGACTGTATGCAATATCTTTGAAACACTTTGCTTGCTCTTAGTAGATATCAACTCCAAGAAATGTATAGCTACATTTCTAGAGGAAACTTTATTTTGAATCAAGATGAAGAGAATCTTATCAATGATCGCAAAGTTAAACTCTTTTTCAGCTTCATCAATAGTATCCAGAATGTTTTCACTGTATAGTCCCACCTTTTCAAAGAACAAGTTTAGAGTTACCTTACATTCTTTCTCCACTTGATACACTAAGGACTCGTTATTTGTGTTCAAAATGTGGAAAAGAGAGTCAACAAAGGATAGATAATGGAATTTGATGGTTCTCTTAGGCAGCTCTTTGATGATCATTTGCAGAGTCTTAATAGCTGCCACCTTTTTGGGTAGATCCTGCCCATAGGATAGATGGCAGATCTTTTGAATTAGGATCTGAATGAACTCAAGATTTTCATAGATTTGATCATCTTCTTCGCCATAAATCTCCTTAACCAATTTTATCATGGTCTTTAAAGCAGTCATAGAGCCCTTGAAGTAAGATCTATGTTGGTTCTTTGGAAGTCCTTAGACCATATTGTAGTATAAGAAATCGCAGATGTTTTCAATGAAGACTAATGGACTGATTTCATTTATAAGATTCTCCTTTAATTTACCATTTTTGCATATGTATATCAAGGTGAAATATTGAGTCACCCATTTGAAAAATTTCTTGATTTTTTTGTGAACTACCTTGATTTCAGGATTATGTTTAGGCATGGAGCAAGCTATTAAGAGACATTTAAGTATCTTTTCAAATGCATGAGATTCGGAACCCTTTCCTAGAGAACTCACTTTAATCTAAGTTTGGCTTGAATCAAAGCTAAATTATTATTAACTTTAATCTTAAAACTTACTATTTAGCAGAATTCATTGAATAAGCAGTAAGTAGTTCAGTATTTTTAGTCTTAGCATTGATGATTGAGGCAACCATATAATCAACATCGAATTCTGGCTCTAAGAAGCATATGAATGAAGCCTTCACCAACTTGAATGCTTCCAGTAGTTTTTAGTGACTAAATTTGTGGAAACTGTCAAATATTTTGAGCAAGACGACATCTATTGCTGAGTCAATGCCAAGAACTATAGTCTTTCCAGAGTTTTTATCCTGCAAGTCAATTTTCAACCCATCTTCTGGGCTAAATACAAATTATTTAATGAGCAATTGATACTTACAAATTCTTAGATTTAAATTCTTTATCCTCAAGGTACTATCTGCTCTTTGCTCCAAGTTTACCAAGTAGCTTGAAACTATAGTTAGGCAGAAGGTAAAGAATTCTCTAGAGTAAGCTGTTTAACTCAGGGAGAATGTTATCAATCACAGGATCTAGTATCTCAGGATAGGATGTCAAAGCTTAAACCCAAGTGAGGATTGTGTTTATGCCACTTTCGATAAGCTCAATGTTATTTGACTTCATGGAATCAATAAGTGGTCTTGAGATAATTGGTAAGTACTCAATCAGATTTTTAAGCTTTGCAGGTACTGAGTAGCATATCTCATTAGTCTCTTTGATGAATGCCGCTTCTTCTTTCGCCTAGAGGAAGGTTTCGAGAAGTCCTTGCATTAACGGGATGAATTCCTTGACAAAGTTGGTGTTGTCGTTGATCATTCCAAGTTCTTTGAACAAATTCCTTATTACTGCGAAATAGTAGGGCACTATCTAACTCGCTTCTATAAATTATGAAATTAAGATTAAAGTTCAGAGTCAAAATGATTAAGGGTAATTTACTTGTGTATTTAATGCAGAAGACGAACACCGAAAAGAAGAGGTTTTTCATTCTGAGATCGCTTTTCTTAGACAGAGCTTTATTTCCAATCATTAGAGTCAGCTTTTATAAGGTGTCTTAGAGATCAGGAGTGGGTATCTTCGCAAGTCTCTGGTCCAGTTTGTTCAGTGTGAGAATCTACTCGTTCTCCATTGATTTGTTGAACACTCTCATCTTTTTGTTGATGTAGCCAAAGAATATCTCAAGCATGTAGGCTGCCTGGTCATCTAGGTTCTTATTCAAATCAGTGGGGGCTACTGGCTGGCCCGGCTGAGATTGCTAAAAGCTCATTAAGTAGTCTGCGAAGAGGACAACTCCTGTGTCTCCCTTTGTGGCCTTGGTCTCCAAAACGTAGCCAAAGAACTTGTCTTCAACAGATGAAAACAGGTCTCTAAACTGGAGGTTCTTCATTCCTTTGAAGATCTTGGCGAATCTCTTGATCAAATCGTTGTTCTTATCCTTATCTTAGGGGAACATGTCGTAAAGACTCTACAGCACTCTAGAGCCGTGGATCAATAGTTTTCTCAATAGCTTCATAAAGCTTTTCTTGTAGAAGTTAGATTTTTTTATGGTTCCAATTAAGTACGAGAGAATGCTATCAATAAGTTGAATGATCTGCTTGACCAACTTGAAGCAGTTTTCCTTTTGAGCCTCTATCTGGTCATTCAGTTACTAGTCGTTGAGTGATATCAAGGAGTAGTACTTGGACTTGTTCCTTATGATATCGTGCTGGTTTGAGCTCTGCGATATGCTGAAGTCAAACATGAAGTTGAAGTAAAACTTCTCCTGTATTTTCTCCACGTCAATTTGCTAGACCTTATCTGCTTCATAGAACTGATACTCATCCTGTAGGAATAGCTCCTTAAAGTTGACATCTCTTTGCTCGATGTCATTCATCCACTTCACACTGTTGTTCCTTAGCTTGATGACTTCTGCCTTGAAGGTGCTTAACTCATCAGCTGCGATCTTAATCCAAACATCTAGATCTTTGAATATCATGATCAGGGTCTTGAGTATTTCAACTTGCAGTTTGCCATCGCTTTGGTTGATGATATTGTTAAGCTCTGCATACTTTCGATACAGTAAATGGATCAAAGTCATCTTCAGGTGGAAGTGCACTGTGGGGTCATTCAGCATTCTAATGATCATCTGCAGACACTTATTCAACTATGCTGCATCCATCTGCGGCTCACGCGAGTGTGAAATATAGGTCATTATGAGAGACCTTCCATTGAACTGAAGTTCTTTGGTGAGCTTGCCTGAACCGAAGATTGTGTTCATGTCTAAGAAGTCGTTGATGTTCTTGTGAAGAAATAGATTCTTCTTTCTGTACAAGGGCTCTCGCTCAGTGATCCTATTTTGAGTGTCACTTCTCTCAAGATTCTAGACCTCCTGGATCATGTACTTAATCATGTTTAGAATGTCTTTCCTGAGTTGGTGTCCATGTTGAGGGAGGTTTTTGAGAATTTTAATTTCTGCGCCAATGATCTTATCGAAGTTATCTAGTACCTCGTTTTGCAGTGACTTCTTGAAAATGAAGGTAAAGAAGCTCATGATAGTCTTGAGTATCTCCAAGAATTCCATGTACAGAGTCATGTTCTTGACTTAAGGTAGGATGCTCTCTGGGAAGCACTCAAGCATTCTGAAGATAGTCTGAATGAGCTGAATGATGATATCTTTGTGGCGGTCTTCGAACAAGGAACTCATTACTAAGTAGAAGTAGTTGCAGTTTGCTATGTTCTTCATTGACTCTGTTGAAGATATGAGCGTCTTCTCCTCAGAGGCCTGAGTTATCCTGATTTAGTTCTGACTTTCATCCACAATCTTCACTTGCTCTAGTTTCCTGGGCAGCATCTCGTACAGGCCTTGGCAATATCTCAGAAACTCGGTCTGGTGATCCTCCTAAAAGATGGCGGATTAATAACAACGAGGGTTATCTTACGAGAGCGTTGAGACTGGTCTTGTAGAATCTTTGGATTTCAAGCAGTATCTTGAGAGCTAACTCTGCATTCTCTTCGTTATCGTGGAGCAATACCTTCATAATTCTACACAAGTAAATGGTCAAAATCTCATTAAGCGAAAGTGATTGTGTGCGATCTCTGGTATAGAGACGATTACTTACAGCTCTATGATCTTTTTGTGGGGGATACGATCCTTGTCGTCTGGGAAGGGTGTCATTAGAAGTATCTCAAGACTGTAGCGGCGTATTTTGTGTCTAACGCAATCCACCATGACTGGTTCCTTGTCCCACATGATGTTGATGATTTCGGGAATGATGACACTTTGGAACTGGGCTATGTTCTGAGAGCTACTTTACTGTTGCAAGTACTCAAGGTACTCAATCACCTCATGCAATAGTCTCAGATATTCTTACTCATCTATAGAAAAGATAAAATATCCCCATTTTAGGGTCTAATACTTTGTTAGAAGTTGCGTAACTATTAAAGCAACACGTCCAATCGGTTGTTGTCTGCGGTCGACATATTTATCTTAACTTGTAATAATTAATTAATAAATAATCACTGCTAAAAGTTATTTATTTTATACCCCCATGTTAACAATGATATAACCTATTGTCAAATTTATTTATAAAAAAAATAAATTTAATTGGTGAGAGTTTAATACTTCTTTAAGAGAGGCTTAAAGATTTATTAAGATAGGCTTAAAAATGATTTTGCCATGAAAGCACTGGTAATAAAGGGTTTTGCCCCTTTTTTGGGGTTATCGCTCTTCTTAACTTCTTATAAGCAATATTTTTGCCCGAAAAATAACCAAATAAAAAATTATAGATAGGGATAAAAATAGCGCAGTTAACTAGCTAAAAATGTGATTATTTATAAACTGCCAAAAAAATCAAAAAAATTTATTATTACGGTAGTTTTAAATAAGAACAGAATATT